TTGTGTACCATTTTGCTGTTCATCTTGTCAGACACTGCAATACACGTGGCATCTGGTACAGAAAACACCTTGGACAAGCGTTTTCAAGTGAGAATGGTTGATCTGAGAGGGAACCAAGCCTCTCCGATGCCTCACACAACTACTACTACAACTACACCTCTGCACCTCTCCTTCCGACAGTATTTAAGTTCCACCGCACTGTCGCTTGATCTTTCAGAATAGTTCCTGACTATGGACCTGAACTACTACTTGTCAGGCCGAGTGACTGACAACCTCAACTTTCTACGACTTAACGGGTTGATGAACAGAATTAACAACCTCGTCCCTTCACACTCTACGCTCCTGCCTAACCCTTTCTGTATTCGAAACTGAAGAAGCCTACTGTTTACTGCGAAAGCGTAATTCGGAATAAAAGATGTCTAACTGTTGCATAATGTGGTCATACCCCTAACAACCTTTCGGTATTAGTATACCATTTTGATGTTCATGCTAGTCAGACACTACTGCAACACGTGGCATCTTGGTACAAAAACACCTTGGACAATAAGCTTTTCAAGTGAGAAAGGGTTGGATCTGAGAGGGACATGACCTCTCAGTTGTCCTCTCCACAACTACTACTACTACTAGACTACTACTACCGCTGCAACCCTCCTTTTCCCGACAGTATTAAGTCACCGCACTAGTCGCTGATCCTTCAGATAGTTCCAACTATGGAACTGTAATTCTCCAGCCGAGGGAACTGACAACCTCTCAAATCTACGACTTTACAGGGTGAGGACTGATTACATCGTCTTCACATCTCTAACTGCACCTGCCTACTTTCTGTATTCGACTGAAGAAGTGCCGCCTACTGTGTCTGCTGAAACGTTTCGGAATAAAGATGTCTAAACTGTTGCATATGTGTCTTACCTAACATACCTGTCGGTATTGGTAATACCATTTTTTGATGTTCACCTCCCCAAAAGAGATAAGAACATAAGAACGAAAAACACTTGACTGTAGGCCTACTGGCCCCCATGCGCGGCAGGTCCAAGATCTCCTACCGGCTTAAAAGCCAATGCACCCAACCTAGTCAGGTCCAGGTCATATTGACTTAAGGGAGGAACACGTCAATCCGACCTTTAGGACAATACTATCAGGTCCAACATCACACCCACGTCCACATCCCCTCATGTATTTTATCCAACCTATTTTAAAGCTACACAACGTTCTGGCCTCTATAACTGTACTTGGATTTTGTTCCACTCCATCCACAACTTCTATTACCAAAACCAGTACTACGTTCCTATATCCTTCCATCCTGAATCTGAATTTGTTTTTCCAACTTAAAACCATTGCTGGCAAGTCCTGTACTATAGGCTAGATTAATTAAAGCACACTATTTAACATCCCCTTATTATTTCCTGTCTTCCATTGCCCGCAGAGCATTAGATTACAGGGGATGTGGGGGACTATAATGTTGCCCGCGTTGTTTAAGCTATAAAGTGCCCTCGCTTGTTTTACTCGGTGTCGTGTTCAACTTAGAAATAACACTCAGGCCGACTATAATATTTTAAACAAGTTCAGAATCTACAATAGAACAATTTGTTAAAAAAAAAATGTAGTACAGTTGATTCACAGAAAAGAGGGTGAGTGTAACCCAACTGACAGTAACTTCTCGATTTAAGTGGCATCTTGACTAGGCTTAATACTTTAATGTTTGTTGAGTTTGCGTGTCACCCCTTTAAGGCCAGTCACCATTTTCTTTCATGTCTTCATTTAGTCCCTCCCCCCCCCTAATGGTTCTAAGGCCGGGCGCCCGGAGTAGACAAACTCTCGAAGCTCATCAGAGGTATCAAAGGTGGTGTGATTTGCCCGGAAACGAAACGACAGATTTGAGCGGTGCCTTTCGGGGCCTTGGTGACCTTTTAGATCCCTGTATATATATATATATATATATATATATATATATATATATATATATATATATATATATATATATATATATATATATATATATATATATGTCGTGCGGAATAGGTAAACTTGGTCAATTAGCCTAGCCAGAACTAATTTAAAATTAAGTCCTTTCTAAAATTTTCTCTTATACGTTTAAGGATATATATTTTTTTTAACTTATGTTAATGTAAAAAAATAAAAAAAAATGTATTAAGAGAACCTTAGAAAACTTACCGAACCTAATTTTAACAAGAGCAATTTAATTTAGCGTAATCTAACAAAATTTATTTTAGATAAGTTTACAGTAAATAAGTTTACAATTAAAAATATTTTTTTTTTCGTTAGGTCCAAAATTATTTTTGCGAAATTATTGCATACATAAATTTCGCTTGCATTATTCGGCAACAAGAGCGTTGCTATTTAAGCCAAAATGGCAAGTTTGGCCTATTCAGGACGGATAAGGTAGATTATAGTGGAAAAATGAACATGTTATTAGAAGACTGAGGAGCTTCCGTGCCCCTTAAGGGTCATAAGCTACAAGTAGAGGCTAATGGAATTTAATCAAACGAATGTCATTGGAGGAGAGAACCAGTGGAGACATAGCTGGAGTACACATGGAGAGGGCTGCAGGGGTCAGTGTCCCCCGCGGACCGGTCTGTGACCAGGCCTCGCGGTGGATCGATCAGGGCCTGATCATCCAGGCTGTTACTGCTGCATAAAATACTCAGGAAAAATTATGTGAATTCTACTTTATTAAATGGGTTGTGTAATAGTTATAATTTGCTCCTATTTTTTTTTTTTTGGTAACGAAACCTAACGTAATGAAGCCTGGATTAAGAGTTAAATTCCTAGGGTATAGTAGATTATTATAGGTCGGGTTATATTTTAGGCCTATCCTAAAAAAATCTTTTACTTTATAGAGCCAAAATATACCTGTCTTTATTGTACAACTTTATTATTACTAGAGAAGTGACGTAAAAGGACAGAATCCCTTAGGGTAATCAAAGTTCACGTATATGTTTTGTGCATGTTTAATGTAAGTAAAAGTTTGAGAGGGAAAAAGCAATATTGTGTTAAATCTTATCCTATTATGAAATTATTTACTGGTTTGTATATTTGTTTAAATAGTTTAACTTGAACCAGTATTCACAAATAATGTAATCTGACATGGAGCATAATGGTATAGAACACATCAAACTGACTTCAACCTGATTTAAGCTCAGACGTTGTGTGTGTGTTGTCCGGTGTGGGGGGGGGGAGGTACAAGTCTTTATTACATAGATTGCTGAATGACTGCTTTAAAAAACTGTTTCTCTCTCTCTCTCTCTCTCTCTCTCTCTCTCTCTCCCTCTCCCTCTCCTCCTCTCTCTCTCTCTCCCTCTCTCCCTCTCTCTCTCCCCTCCCCTTCCCTCTCTCCCCTCCCCTTCCCTTCTACTTTTCATCTCTCCTTGTCTCTCCAAATGCCTTAGGTTTTTTCCTTTTATCAGTTCGCTTCCCCCTTCCCATTTATCTCGTGCTGCCCTTTCTGTTTATCTCCCACACACTCACATCTTCCGTATATCTTCTACGCAGCCCGTCCCACTCTATCTGTCTACTCTTTCTTTTCCTCTTGTGGCAATACTCACCATTTCGTTTTTTTTTTTTTATTTTTTTATTTTTTTTTTGTGTGTGGATCGAATCTTGCCTCTTTCATATATTAATAAGACACTATGCGGTTTATGGCATTTTATTGAGAAGACGTTTCGCCCACCGGAGACTAACAGTTATCACCAGAAGAGAGGCGAGAATTGAGAAAATTAATGATGGACGTAACGTCTTCTCATTACAGTACCGTAAACCGCATATTGTGTTATATTAATATTCGTATCGGTATATAACATCATTGTTGTGAAAACTTGTCGAGCAGCACTACTGGTCGCAGGCCTGTTTGAGCATCTATCTGTGTGTGCTGTATCCCGCTGGTTTGTCTTTGTTGGGGCAGGGGGGAATCTTGGCGTGTGTTTAATATTACTGACATTTTCAAATTCACGTTGCTTAAGATAGCTAGATAATTTACATTTGTTTAAGATAGCTAGATGGTTGACATTTGCATAAGATAGCTAGATTGTTTACCCTTGCTTAAGATAGCTAGATAACATCATTATGAAAGATATCTAGATTGTTTCATTTGCTTAGGATAGCTAGATAGTTTACACTTTTTCGCAATTTACAGTTTACACCGTGCAAGTTTCTATACAACGAAGGGTTGAGAGTATAACAGTTGCAGATATGTCGAGAATTAATTTAGGTAAATGGATAGGTACTCAAAACGTTGCATGTATACCTGCATTAACAGGTAGTCAACAAGGAAGCTGATAAATTAGACATGTATGCAACACTTGGGCATCTTCATTGTGGAAACTTTTCTCCACACAGTGGCTTCCTCTGTCCAATACAGAGAAGAATGGTTAAGATCAGAAGGAGTTTGAAGTGATCAGTCCCTTAGCCTGTAGTCGACTCCAGGCTGAGGGACTGATTACCTCAGACTACTCTTCCTCTTCACCATTCTCCTTTGTATGGAATGATGAAGCCATTGTGTGGCGAAACTTTTAAATAATAAAGATACCCAAGTGCTGCACATGTGTCTAATTTATTAACTTGTCGGGTCTCTGAACCACTTATCTACAACGAGGAAGCTGACTAAAGGACGAGCTGGTAGTGTAGAAAAACCCTCGATGTCGGTCTTGGGTATGTCTCACTGTACAAAGCTACTGTTTATGAATGTATATTTTTGGTAGCATAGCTGTCATAACTGCTTATACTGTGTCGCAATAATGTGGAATGAACGAGGTAACGTTTTATCTTGTATTTCCCTGGAAGCGGGAGAAATGTGAGCATTGAGGTCGCCACGGGTCACTCCCAGGCTCAGCTTTTTGACCTTACTTGACCCCTAACTGAGGCAAATACTGGAAATGAAGACGCCGAAATGACAAACTCGAGAAATTATATCCTGGTGAAAGTAACCTGTTTGTGAAGTTGTCCGTGTTGCCATAACGCTTCACCTCGACATGATTGCCTTGCAGGTGTTCATCTCTATGAATACATTTTGAGGGAGGCGTGTGAATAGTGTGGTAGCTTGCTGGAAGAGAGGTGAAGCCTCCAAAGAAACTGACATTACAAGCAGTGGATGATGGCGGTGTAAGGTGGGTCTAGGGTATCCCTGGGCCCGGCGTGAGGGATGTGGGCGTGCGGCGTGGGCGTGGGCGGCCATTAGCCAGGCAGAGCAGTGTGTGTGTGAGGGCAAGTGAACGCCGCCGCCCACCATGAGTACGGGTAATGTGTCGGAGGTGGGGACGGAGCCCCCCGCGCCCGCTGCACCCGGGGCTCTGGCCAAGCTCTCAGGGCTACACGAGTGGCTCTCACTGGAGAACCGTCGAGTGAAGCAGTGGTGGTCGACGCGATCAGGCACAGACCTGCACAGGATCTACATGAACCAGCTACAGGATACTGACGGTGAGAATCTTTTCTCTCTCTGTGGAACTAGATCCTACCTTCCCTCTGCAACTAGACCCTGCTTCCCCTCATACTTCAAGCAGCTAAAGGATACTGACGGTGAGATCCTCCCCTCAATTTGCAACTAGATCCTTCTACCTCCCCTTACTCCAACTAGATCCTACCTCCCCTCCTTCAACCTGGTACAGTATACTGACGGTAAGTACCTTCTCTCATTCTTCAGCTAGATTCTTCTACCTCCCATTTCTCTCACATTAGATCCTGCTTCCCCTCATCCTTCACCAGCTACAGTATACTGACGTTGAGTAGCTTCCCCCTACTCTCCAACTAGATCCTACCTCCCCGCCTTCAACCAGCTCCAGGACTCTGTGGTCCTTCAGCCTATTGACCTAGGAGTTAATTCCCCCCCCCCCCCCTTGTTCCACCATTCTTCAGTAGTTTCAGGATAGTGATAAACATCACCTTCCTGTCAACATTGCTGCTAACTCTTCCTCCTTCACTAAATCTTCAGGACACACTTTTGCTTGCTGATTCGCTCCTTCCGTGTCTTACCTTCAGGACCCCTTTCTCCGTTCAACACCTGCAGGACGCCCCATCCTGAATTCGTGTCCTTCAGGGCACTTCTTCCCTGCCCATCGTCCAACTTTCAGCACACCCCCCCTCACTCTCTCGCTCAGGTTTCAAAGCACTCTTCTCAGTACTATGCTATGTACACTTGCTTGCCTTCCTCCCCACAGTTGCCAAGGTATCAATCAAGCCTTCCAGTTCTCATCTCGCCCACAAGGTAAGTTGCAACAGGAGCGAATACGTCTGGGTGTGAAGTAGGATGCACAAAGTCTCTCCAAATACTCATCTAATGAGGCTTGCTGCTAGACTGTTTATATTTGAGGTGACAGATTTGCAGTGCGGCTGCCTGTGGTGAGTGATGGCTGGGTGAGATGAGAGTGGTTTGAATTTATGGTGAGTGATTAATGGTTGGCTGGCTGGCTGGATGGATGACAACCATGTTTCACTGGACACCAGAGGTGAGTGATGGCTAGCTGTCTGGATGAGAGATAGTCATGTGTCTTACTAGGTACTGGAGGTGTGTGTTAGAGAGAGAGAGAGAGAGAGAGAGAGAGAGAGAGAGCAATACCTCGTTGGATGCTGGAGGTGTTCCAGGATGCTGTCGCCCTCCTCAAGGTCTTAAGGTGCTCTCACTGTGGCGCCTGACCTTCACAACTTCCACATATCCCCTGACATAACCCCCTGACATACCCCCTTCCCCTCTCATTCAGCTCTTTTCCTCCCCCTCTTCCCTTTCCTTATCCTCTTGCATCACGGGAAGTCATATTCTGACCAAAATACTAATGTGTAAGAAAACTCAAGAGCTGCTGCAAGCATTCAAGTATGGAGAAGCTTCCATACAGTGGCTTATGTCTAATGGTTAGTAAGAGCTTGCTTGGAGGGATGAGTCGTGCCGCCGTGCCACTCATCCAGGGAGTGCACAATAACCCCACAATGACACATAACATCACCTCCAAATAATTACGTGCCACATGTAACGCCATTGGATTAATAATGTTAATACAGTAAATAAGAAGTACCCATTCTCTCACACACTTCATCTTTTTCCCTAAACCTCTCCGCCTAAAAATATTCAAATGTTAAGTTAGAGGTATCCTCACACTGACTCGTATCTAATTGTAAACTAAAAAAGCATTGAATCATTATTCCTTCACAGGTTTCACTATCTTATCTTCGCCCTCATTCCTGCTGCTCCTCATTTACTCTCCCTGTCATCTGTACCATCCCCGCCACCACCTCCTCACTCCTTCCTTAAGATCTTCCACCCTCTTCCTCTTACCTGACCCCACTCTCCCCACATATCTTTGCTCCCTGCTCTTGCCCATCTCTCCCTCCGCCCCCCCACCTTACTTCCCTGTCCTGCCCATCTACTACCTGCCAACCTTAGAGCCTACTCCCTTCTCCAGAGAATGTATATATGATGTGTTTTTTTAATTGTATTTGCCTCTTTCTCTCTTTCTCTCTCTTTCTCTCTCTTTCTCTCTTTCTCTCTCTCTCTCTCTCTCTCTCTCTCTTCTCTCTCTCTCTCTCTCTCTCTCTCTTCTCTCTCTCTCTCCTCTCTCTCTCTCTCTCTCTCTCTCTCTCCCTCTTTTTTTTTTTACACAGGGTTTGACAAGGTTAAGGATCCCTAGCTTTATTGACAAGCTATTTATAGGTTAAGGATTCCTAACTTTATTGGCAAGCTAAGAGCTGTTACCTACATCTCTCTCTCTCTCTCTCTCTCTCTCTCTCTCTCTCTCTCTCCCTCTCCCTCTCTCTCTCCCTCCCTCTCTCTCTCCCTCCCTCTCTCTCTCCCTCCCTCTCTCTCTCCTCCCTCTCTCTCTCCCTCCCTCTCTCCCTCCCTCTCTCTCTCCCTCCCCTCTCTCCCTCCTCTCTCTCTCCCCTCCCCTCTTCCCTCCCTCTCTCTCTCCCTCCCTCTCTCTCTCCTCCTCTCTCCTCTCTCTCTCTTCTCTCTCTCTCTCCCTCTCTCTCTCTCTCTCTCCTCCTCTCTCCTCCCCCTCTCTCTCCCTCTCTCTCCCTCTCTCTCTCTCTCCCTCCTCTCTCTCCCTCTCCCTCCCTCTCTCCCCCTCTGCCCCTCTCTCCTGCCCCTCCCTCTCCCCTCTCTCTCCCCTCCCTCCTCCCCCTCCCTCTCCCCTCCCTCCTCTCCCCTCCCTCCCTCCCCCCCCTCCCTCCCTCCCTCCCTCCCTCCCTCCCTCCCTCTGCCCCTCCCTCCCTATCTTGTGTCAGCTTGTATCGTCTCGCTCTAATACCATTGGAGGTGTTGGCAAGATCACATCACCGTAGAATAATTTCATCAATGGAAGAGGCTTGTGTGTGCCAGGTGATACGTGAATGTGGACACTCCAAGGAACAAGTGCTTTTAGACATTACATTATTAGCCACTATTACGTAGTAGCGTGGCTCGAGTGTGTAGTTCTGAAAACACCGCTTTGGTAAACACCTGTAGAAAATGCAAGAGACACTTTCGTCAGCTGGATCATTCAGCACGAGGAGAGGTAGGGGCTCCAAGTTTCCCGCTCATCGTCAGATTTTCAAGGCATCTTGATAAAGCTCGACGCAGGAAACTGTTCCAGTAAAAAAGTTGTTCTACACCTCTCTTTTACAGACTGTCGTGTTGTCGTTGATAACATCCTCCTCCTCATCCCGTCCAAATACTGGGAACAAATTCTTGTGCTATGAAATGAATGGTTGTCTGTAAATCTTGATAAACCTGACATTTATATGTAACCTAAAAAAATAGCAAGGTTAAAAATGAATTCTTGAATTAACCTCAGGCTACAAGCAATAAGATCACTAAGGTACAAAGATTGTATTGATAATCTACCTATTTGGAGTTTTCGCCTGACTAAACTGATCATAGAAATGCTATCATGACAAGTATAATCATTAGCTTATTCTCACAAAACGACGACGCCGGAAAAGACAGGAATTCCTCTGCTTTGTTGGTATGAAGCGTTTCCCAGGATGCTTCTGCTCCTCTCGTTTCGGCGTCCATTATTATGATGGGTTGGAGAAGATCATCTCAAAGCGTTGACACGCTTGCTAAATGTATTTTAAGTTCTCCGATATTGCCTCCACCCCTTTTGCCACGTTTGAGTGATAATGGCCGCTACTGCCAGCGTTTTCCAATCAGCTGATCTGCGGCTTCAATGATAGCTTATCTCTACTATAAATATCGTCCCTAAAACAACGATCTGATTTAGTGTTCTTCAATAATTTGGGTTATTCACTTATGAACTTACGATTTAAAATTTTCCTGAATTGATGATAACCCTCGTGAATATAGTGTTTACAGTTTAATCAAGCTAACATCTCCTTTCTAGATCCAATGTTTACATGTTGCAATATTCGATATTACATACCAAATATTCGATATTAAAGCGTCGATGGGAGACTGGAGCTTATGTAGGCAAATTTTCCACAGGTGTGTTGTAATGTAGTGTGTTTAGGCACGACCTTCAGTGACTTAAAGCTGCTTTGTTGAAGCATACCAGAGAGAAACTGAAGGTGTGCAACGCCTTGCTCTGTTGCCTGTTGAGGCAACATGTAGAAAGTAGGCTGTGGTACAAGTGACATACGCCACAACATATAAAGAAGCTAGGCCTGTATGAAGAATAAATCACAATACCGTGGCTGGAATATTCATAAATAATCCATTTTTTTTTCGAGAGGAAACTGACATCGTTTGTCTGTCCTGTTGTGACGACAATGGTCCAGGACGGATCGAATTGTAGCCAGTGGTTTTCTTGCGAAACTGTGGGTTATTTGTGTAGTGTTACGTATCGTATCTGCGGGGGATGAGATTGACTAGTTGACGTTTGATCTCTCAGCATTTTCTACTGTTGAAAATCAACAGTCTGGTTAGAAACCGTGGCAATGTTAAGTTAAGAGACCATTGCAAGATTAGAGGGCGGATAATTGAGTCTTTATCACCCCTTACGCTGAATGACCCACAGGTTTAGATTTTCATGAAGTGCATTCACTTAAAAGAAGGTTAGCTAACATAATGGTGGGTACGCAATCCCTGAGCACTACTGTGTGCGTGCGTGTGTGCGTGAGCGAGCTAGCGAGCGAGAGCCTGGCCCATGGGCGGGCTCCAGGAGTAGAAAAACTTTCGGAACTCATCAAAGGTACAAGGCGCCCACATGATGGGTATAGAATGCATAATAAAGATATCTCACTAACTACTGTCGTGACCCTGACATAGTTACCACAAGCTGTGCTCAGGCAGTACTTGCGTGACAACTTTCTATGTGGCTTCACAGCTGTGAGAAGTCCGGCATGACGTGCCTCCTTGCTACCTTCCATCGTGATGACATCTAGTTATTGTTCATTGTTACGCTGCAATATTGTTGTGGTACTCGCTGATGGCTGCAGTATGCGTCCCTTCTCTATGTTACTAACATGCTGGAAAAAATACTACGATGAATATT